CGGTACGCTCGTCCAGAGCTCTTCTTTCAAAGGCCATCCGAGCAGATTGTTCATCAGCTAGAAGGCGCTGGAGTTCTGCCTTCTCTTCTCTAATTGATTCCCGCTCGGTCTGCCAGACGCTCTTCTCAAGCTGGAGGGCGTCTTTCTCATCCTGAAGGGAATCATTCTCCTTCTTCAGGACATCTCTCTCTTGCTCGGTTTTGTCAAGCCGAACCAGCACCTCGGTATTCTTCATGGCAAGGAGGTCGTTTTCTTTATTAGCCACCTCCAGGCTGTCAGAATACTTACGGGCCCTTGCGTTCCCCATCTCCACCTGCTTCTGCATGGCCATCATCCTGAACAATGTCTGCATAGGTGCACATTAAAAACGGTTAAACCAATAGTCAGAACGGGCGAAGGCAAGACCAAGTAATATGAGAGAATTCATGAGTTAGAAAATAAAAGTCACCTCCATAGCAGATTGGGGAAAGCGACTGAACACGTCCTTCTGGGAAAGGCCCTTTGCCGCCTCAAGGTCCTTCGGAGTCCACATGCTCCTGTAGTAGGCCATAGCGGTCTGGCCATCCTTCAGCATGGTCTCGTTCGGTTTCACGAACGTCCCATCCGTTCGGGTGTACCGAGGGGCCCATGGCGGTAAGCTGGGGATAGAAGGGGGGCCTGAAGCAGAAGCAGAGCCACCAGCTACAGGAGGCCCAGAGGGAGAAGGAGCTCTGATCGCTCGGTGCAAGAGAGTACCCGGCCCAGAGACCCGGGTCCTTCTAATGAGAGGCTCCTCCTCAAGATCGATTTCACTGTCAGGATGAGGCCTTTTGCCTCGTTCTTTGTCCCGACCGCCCCCCGCAGCAGCAGGAGCTATGGTAGCTGGGGAGGGCGCGTTCTGGTTGGCAGCAGGGGCGCCGGCAACAGGGTTGGTAGCCACTGCGCTCGGGACAGTGTCAGATATGGTGGCTGAAGAAGAAGCTGACGCTGGAGAGGAGGTCGCCCCAGCAGCAGGAGTGGCTGGGGGAGTATTTTTCCTCCTGCCAAAAGAGGGAATCTAAAGTCTGCTCATGTTGTAGCCGAGTGATGAGAGCGCTAAGAGGTTGTCTGAAGTGAGGAGATCTGAGCAGGAAGGAATATCGTTCAGAACGTATCTCTTCAAGTAGTTACTCCTATCCCTGCAAACACTATAGCTCAAGTCATCACAAGGTATTCCCAAGGAGCGGCATAAGTAAGTGCAAAAACGAGGAACGCATGTTTCACAGGGGCAGTCATGTTTATGGGATTTGAATTTTTTATAGGAGGAGACAGAGCAGACACCAAAGGCGCTCGGGATTGGGTAACCCTCTGCAGCCGGCGAAGACCAAGCCCTACTAATGCCCACTATGCTATCCCTCCAACCCTTTTCAGATTTTATTGTGTCAGTACATACGGACATCTTCTCGAACGGGTAGAGGTGGTAGAAGGGCTCGTTAGTACGGATCTTACTCACCTTATAGCACAGAAGGAGGTCTATGAGGTCAAGGTCCAGATTTCTGTCACGCATCAACAAGAGCATAACAGATATGATTCTAAAGAAGTTGGGGTTGACCTGCAGAGGGGATATCCCCAATCTATTGAAGACATAACTAAAGAAAGGGTGCAGAGGGAACCTAACAACATTCAATTGAAGGTTCGTGAATAAGACTTCGCCAGGCAGGAGGCCGGCGCCGGTCGTAATATTAACGTCTTGGGGGCAAACCCTAACTTCGATGTTGTCAGGAAGTCTAAGTCTCATACGAAGAACATCCAGATCTACAACCATGGTGGAAGTGATAGAAGAATCTACAAGAGGGTAAATGGAAGCCTGCCGAAAGTAAAAAGAACGAAACTAACCTCGGAGGACTGCAAGATCGCTGGAAGAATGACTCTTGAAGGATTTCACCAAGGAAAGCTTAGCACTGTTCTAGAAAAGAGAGAGACTTGGCTGATGATGGAGACGGTAAAGGGAAGTGAAGTGGAATTCTAGAGCATTATAAAGGCGAGGGGGCCCGAGGGCCGAAGCGTCGGGAAGGCGAGAAATCCCTCGAGCCCCGGAACATTGATGTTGGATCTGACCGTCCGCTCCCCCACGTGGTTATCTCGAGCCGTCAACATCATGATGAGACGCCATCAATAATTACCCCTTATTAAATAAGGGGCAATTATGGGGGCAGTTGAGGAGGCCCCGGATGACACGGGCCAGATCCGACTCGCAAACATAGCATTCAGTCCGTACAGCTGGGCCAGCCCATAGAAGGACACTGCCATATGGGCCGAACGAGAGTAAGCCCATCAAAGGTGACCAAGGCTTACGAAGGAATAGGCCCAGATCCAGCAATTAGTAAATATCTTGTAAATATCTTGTAAATATCTATAAATAGGAGATGGAATGAAATGGAGGGGGATCTTTTTTGGGGTTGAGGTGTAAGAATTCTAGAGAGAGAAAGAGGAGAAGGAATTTCTTGTATCTTCAGTTTTCTCATTGATAAATAACAATTGGACTCCTGACAATGTGCGAGCTGAAATTATTGTTCCACTGTTAGACATGGGTTGTGCGTTGACCACAATTAATGTTGAAGTTTCGCTTCTTCGAGGAACGAGAGAAGGAGAGACTTGTAGGCGTGACAATGATCTGCACTCCTTTGGGTGCTGTATTGGTGACATTGTAAATGGAGGGAGAAGGGCTAACATTAGTGACTGTCCTTCAAAAAATGACTGCGGTCGGGGCGTTCGTTGAGTGTTTTTCAAGTGAAGTTGCATAGTGGGATAGTTAAGACTGTCATGGCTTATTGGAGGAAGAAATTTCGACCAATGGATCCGATTTGGACTGAATAGGAAGTTAAGGATGGATCGGCTATAGCCCTCTTGGCATAGAAATGAAATGTAGTCCATGTAATCATTAATGTCGTAGACTAGGCCGGGGTTCACTGCTTTGGTTGGGTTCATTTGGCCGGCACCGTAGGCAAATTCAGCATCACTAGCCACTCTTGAGCTCAAAGGTGTTGCTTTGACAAACAAAATATTTCACGGAAATGTTAGGGCATGCATGAATGTTTTTTATACATGCAAAATATATATCATTAATATAACTTAATCTTTATTGTAAGTAGTTCTTCTTGAAGTTATTTTGATAAAGATTAAGCCACATACAAAGGGTCATTCTATAATAAAACCTTATCAGGCTTATTGTAAGTAATTCTTTATTATTATTATTATTTTTGGGGAAGGTAAATTTTAAGTAATTCTATCCCTTGTAAATCAAAGAAGAAATGAGAAGATTGCTTATTCTTACAGGTTGTCATTATACCAGATTTTATTGCAGCCGGAGACCAACCCAGGCAGAATGACTTTACATAGGCAGCTACACCGCTAACGTACGGACATGCCATGGAAGTTCTAGTCATGAATGCAAATTTCGAATGTTGGGTGTCACATTTACACCCAGTAAGTGTCGTTAGAGGGGCGTATGCTGCCAAGATGCCAACACTCAGAGCTACAATATCAGGTTGTTCTATAATACATCAAATGAGCAAGTTTATTTGAGTACTAGGCCCTATTAGGGAAGAAGGTGCAAACCCTTATAATTAACACTAACACACACACATAAACCTTGAGGCTTGAACTTAAAAAAATAAGGCCGTGTTTGGTTGGTCTGTAACTCCAAACAACAGAATGTTTTCGATTCCTAACCTCTTTTTAAAAAATAGGAATAGTATTTTTGAGCCACTGACCCATTAGTCTAATAGTCCAATTCTAGTTACGAATAATGTGTCAAATATATGTTCTTTGGTTTTAGTCCAACTTTAATTATTCACTTATTTACTAGAAAAGAAAAAAAAAATGGCATGCATATTCTTTGGTTTTTCTATGAATTATTAACCTCATTAATGTAAATTGTGGTCTTTGGTGAGAGTGATGAACGAGTAGATGAAAAATTTGGAAGCAAACAAAGGGGCTTTGAGTCATGAGATTCTGTTTGTGTCGGAAGACTTTTCCCTTCATACATGATACACCCCATGATGATAATGTTGGTGGGGTCTACAGGCGAGCTTTAATTTTTGAAGTCTACGCTTATACTCCGTCACAAGTAAATTTTAATTTTTTTTCCCCGGGTAAATACAAGCAGTTAACTTTCACATGGACACGGGGGCGTTGTTCTTAATTTGGCCGAAGTGTTTAATTTTTAAAAAGTAGGACAGTCATTTCGGTTAGTGTTTTAGGCCAAATAGCATTGTTCTTTTTTGGCTTTAGTTTAAGATGTTTTTCTTCAAAAATTAGTTCTTTCTTGAGTGCATCACTTTTTCACTAATTAAGTTACTACTAAAGATTTTACTAATGGAGACCAATTGACTTGTAAATACAAATTAAGCTAAATAATCTTAATGAATTCAGAATTTAAAATTAGCATAGTATAAAATAGATTTTAAATTTCTTGTCATCTTTAGGTGGATAGCCTAGTAGTTAGGCTGAGTAGTTTGGCTCAAACATCAGAAGTTAAGAGCCCAAACCCATGTCGAGTTGGGGGCGAAGTGCATTCTGCCATTAGGGCTCTAATTGGCATGACAACATAATTTTGTGTATTTTAAGAAATTTTCTAATTGGTATTGTTATTTACACCAAGTAATCAAAACTTTAGATTTATCTCACATGTTTCATCATACTTTAATTAATACGGGTTTTGTAAACTGATGGTACTTCCTCACCTTCTAAAAAATACTTTTAATTAATCGATTCCCAAATAATCAAAAACCTTACGTTGGTCTATCATATTTCACGATTTGTCCAAGTTTATATGTAATCTTCCATCTTTTTCTAATTAAAAAATTCAATGTGTTCTTGCTGATACTCACCTTGGCTCATCTTATCTGTAGTCCATGTGGATCAAAACAAGATATATATGTCCTTATTAATTTTTATTTGATTGGCAAGTGTTTCACCATTTGATTGATTTATATACACTTCAATTATAGATTGGAGTTTCTTGATGGAGGAATCCTCAATAAAATAAAATCCATGTAGTGTGATAAACTAGATAAATTGGCAATTCATGATGCATCACGAAAAAGCTTACATCTCAAAGAGTTACAATACACATACACACACATAGTATTCCTAAATCACGTACATTGGATTATCTTCCATTTTTATTTTTGATCATGCGCTAGCTTCATCCTTTTTGCAAATTCATAACACTACATAATTCATTGCAGGGTAAGTCGATCTTCTCATTGATAAATAACAATTGGACTCCTCACAACATGTCTAGAGTTTCTCCATGAGAGCGAAGCTGAAATAATTTTTAAACCCTTAGACATGGGTTGCGCTTTCACCACGACCTTGAAATTCCGCTCTTGGAAGGCAGTAGAGAAGGAGAGACTCATAGGGTTGACAGTGATCTCCACTCCTTTGGGTGCTATAATGGTGGCATTGTAAATGGATGGAGAAGGACCAACATTAGTTACAGTCCTTTGGAAAACAACTGTGGTTGGGAGTTGAGTAGTGTTTTTCAAATAAAGTTGCATAGTGGGATAGTTAAGAGCATCATGACTTGTTGGAGGAGGATAATTCGAGCAATTCACATTATAACTGAATAATAAGGCAAGAATGGATCCACTGTAGCCCTCTCGGCATAGAAATGGAATGTAATCATCTTCATTACCAATGTTGTAGACTAGGCCGGGGTTCACTGCTTTGGTTGGGTTCATTTGGCCAGCACCATAGCCAAATTCAGCATCACTATCCAGGCTCAAAGGTGTTGCTTTGACAAATATTTCAAGAAAGTTTAATTAAGAAAATTATATAAAAAGGGCAAAGCCAAGTACACAAGGCTCTCAACATACTATAAACAAATTTAGGAGGATTATACAAAGGAATTATACTACAGTCAAAACTTTATTGTAAGCAATTCTTAGTTAAATTGTTTGGAAACTTTTGAATTTACATGGTGATACAAGTAATTCAAGTCCTAAAAAAATTGGTGATAATCAACTTAGTTAAAAATTAAAGAAGAAATGAGAAGATAGGTTAGTCTTACCAGTTGTCATTATAGCGGATTTTATTACAGCGGGGGGCCAATCCGGGTGGAATGACTTTACATAGGCAGCTATACCGCTAACATGTGGACATGCCATAGAAGTTCCAGTCTTGAATGTGAATTTCGAATATTGGGTGTCACCATTCCGCCCGGTAAGTGTTGCCAGAGGAGTGTATGCTGCCAAGATGCCAACACCCGGAGCTGCAATATCAGGCTGTTCCATAATACATCAAATGAGCAAGTTTATTTGAGTACTAGGCCCTATTATGTATGGAAGAAGGTGCAGACGGTTATGATTAACACCAACACACACACACACATAAACCTTCAGAATGTATTCTGATCCTGGACTTGGACCTCGAGACGAGTAAATATACATAAATGGAGCTGGGATTTTAAATTCTTGTGACTTGTATATCACTGCAGATGGTGATCTGAATGGCATAAAAACACCCAATCATTTCTTCTTCTATTAAATAATCAAACATTTTATATCATTCATAAATCTTGTAATATAATATATCTAGCAGTGGCCTCGTAATAGAATATAGATATATACCTTACAGAGTGTAAATAGTAGTCACTAATGGGTTCAGCTTCGGTGGAATTCACTGTGGTTCCTGGTGCCATGTAAATTTGGTCACCGTCATTGTAAAGAATCCCACCACTAATATTGTTGATAGTGCCGATCCCTCCAATGCTTTTGATATAAGAATCAGGTAGTTCCAACAGTAAATTGCACAAGACAAGTTTTCCTTTCACCTTCACAGGGTCTATTGAGTCTTCAACACAATAACTGTATACAAAACACACTATAAATTAAGTTCTATAAAAGTAAGAAACTGCTGCTAGGTTTCTCTATAAATAGAAGAAGAAGGAGGCCTTATGGAGACATCTCACGATCATTCAACTTCAGTTTTTACTTCTCTGCAATTTCATTCAGCCTTTAAATTGTATTTTACTTATGTTCGTAGGAGTAGCCTCTAGTGTTAGAATTCCACTTCTTGTACTCTGTATAAGAATTTTACTTATGAAATAAAAGTTGATGCTTGGCAATAGTCTCATCTACTTTTATTTTCTAAGTCTCTTAGAATAGATGAATACTTGTGTAATTTGTTTTACTCCCTTCATTCATTTTACTTATAGTGTTGAAAGTCCTCTTTATTGAGGCGTTGAAGAATCTAAAGGAATGGTCATCTTGCCTTCTAACAATCGCCTGATTCACTAAGGGCCGATTTTATATTCAGTCAGCACTAAGGATAGCTTGGCTATCCAACCCCTTAGGTCGAAAGGCTTTGGCACGCCACTAAAAAAAAAAGAGCCAAACATATATACACCTTGCATATAACTTTCTCGAAGATGTTATGGCTGCATCAGCCCCGAAAACAAGTGGGTACATTTTACGCTCAGGATTGAATGCGTTTACTCCCCTTCCCTGCATTAATTGCAGATGTATTAATTAATTCTACTTAATATTTCACGATATGATTAAGACTGCAATAAGTAAGTTGGGTTAGCAGAGCAGCTAACTAGCTATTCGAGCTTAGATCAATCAGTCAAACAGTTTCTTTAATTTGCTTAAATATATAATATTAATGAAATAAATAATACTTACTGAAGTGGTTTTTCCATTGCCTAATACAACTTTGCTCCTAAATTGTCGATCCATACCAGTAGCTGCCACGGTTAATATCCAGGGTGCATGGTTTCCGACGGTACCAGGAGTTGGTCCATCATTTCCAGCAGAAGCAACAGTGATGACACCAGCTCTCATGGCCAAAAATGAAGCCACTCCTATAACGTCCAAGAAATCTTCGGTCGGCGGAGAGCCGATTGACAAGGACAGTATATCAACACCATCACTGATAGCGGCTTCAACGCCTGCAAGAACGTCCATATCTGCACAACCCTCGCCGGCCCAGCACACCTTGTACATAGCCAATCTCGCCGAGGGCACTGCTCCGCGTGCAGTCCCTCTACCAAGTCCATATACGCTTGCATTTGCTACAACACTTCCAGCAGCTGTTGATGATACATGAGTCCCGTGGCCGTGCACATCTACCGGTGACAATATTTCCCCAGGTAAGAGTTCTTGGTCTGCCTTGAAGTATTTGGCTCCTATAAGCTTGCTATAACATAACACCAACACTAAAAATTATTAACATGATTAGTGGTGCTAGCTTAAAAGTTAATGAAATACTCCATATATAATTAAGGATTTGAATATTATACTTGTTGCATCCTGAAAAATTAACAAAGGGGCCACAACTTCCTTTCCATTTCACTGGTGGAGGACCCAATCCATCATCCTTAAAGCTTTCTGAATTTGGACTGATACCTGACCAGGGCACGTACGCCCCCAAATGACACATTATTAGTTTTCATTAAATTGAATACACAAACACACATACACACACAACATTTCTAACCTGTATCTAGTACACCAATAATAATGTCCCTCTCCATTTTCAAATTTCTTCTTACTGTTTGAGGAAAATCAAGAAAGTCCCACGATCGAGTTGTAAGTAGCTTTTGATATTGATTTTTGAAAACAGCACGCACCTCATCCATGCCTGGACATTCATTTTTTAGACATATATATAATTATAAAGTAATAATTAAACATTAGAAAGAATAATATTTAACAAGTTGTTACACATACCGGATAACTTTTTGGCTTCATCTCCAGATAGTTTTGCAGCAAATGCATTGAAGATTTTCGTGTAGCTATATACATGGGACTCCTTAGCATCAGCATCACTGTTTAAAAATGATCAACACATTATTTATATATACAAATATACACACAATCAACAATCAAGAGAATTAACGTTTCAATTAATTAATCAACCTTCCCTTCAAGGTTGAGAGGACATCAATGTGTGACTGAAACAAAGATTCCTCCTCAAGTGGACGATCTTTCAAGAAAACAATGTAAAATTCCTGCAATTAAGTTAAATATGTGATTATATACATGTATAATATTTGCAATGATAATGAGATCGAATGCTAAAACTATAAATTAAGTAAGAGAAGGTAAGTAGTGACATGCACCTTTTTTAGATCTCCATTTACAGCTACAAGACCTATCAAGGTAAGGAATAGAAGACAAAAACAGATTGGAAAGTAATGCATATATCCAATTCTCAACATCCTTGGAGACAGTACTTTCTGTTAATAAAAAGAAACCCAAGGCATCATTAACCAAATATATGTTGAAGGATATAAATATTAAAGTCACAATCTCTTAAACAATTTATCAGTTTAAATTTTTGTGAAGTAAATGATTGTTAACATGGTATTAAAGTCAAAGGTTTAAATCTCACAGTTCTATACATATGTTTAAAAATTAGACATAAAAAAAGTAAATCCTAAAAATGTGTATATATCGGTATAATACGAATGCTAATAAAAAATATATAGTAAAACATACTGTAGCAGTTACATAATTTTTTTTTTATATATATATGATAAATAGTGTTTTTTTTTTTTTTTTTTTTTTCAATGATATTTTAATAATAAATGAAACTAAGAGAGTGATGAAGTTGCAAAAGTATTATATAAAAATTATAGAGCTGTGTATTTATTTGTTTAGATTTAGATATATATTTTTAACTAACCAAAAGTCGCCAAAAAAGCAACCACAATGGGTAACTTATTGACTTTTTGCCCATGATACCCCAACCAACCAAGTCAAAGGGAGTTTTATGTGATTAGCCTAATGGTGTGAATTTAGTTTTTATATATATATATATTATATATATATATATATATATATATATATATTATTTCTTGAATAATAATATTTGAATTTGAATTTTTTGTTTTATGTATCACCGATTCACCATACTTTTAAGAGTTAAGTATAAATAAAAAAAAAAAAAACTCTTGCTACATGCAGTTTGTGCAAAAAGGCCATTGTTGTTCAAAAAACTCCCTGTATGTTTTGAAATTGGGCAAATAAGGACAATTACTCAAATTGAAGATTGAAATACCTAAATTAGCACATATATATGCTCAAATTTCTTTTTATTATACTCAAATCTATACTTCTGCAAACCCAAGCTATCCAGTTGCCAATGATTTTCTTTTACATTATATCACATCAGAGCCTTTTGGGACGCGGAATAAATTATTGAGTTGATTGCAATCCACAAAGAATTTCTCCAATTAAGTGAAAACCACAAATTTATTAATGCTGCATCTTATCTCCTAATTTAATTGTAATATAGAATTGATGGGTTCGCAAATACATGGATTTTTTTCTTTTAAAAAAAAATACGCTATTTTTTTGGGTGGTGTTTGGTGGCCGGATTTAATGGTTGAAAATCGGTGGGGACAAGCAGTAGTGAACCGGTGGTGTTTTGTGCCCTGATTTTTGGGTAGTGTTTGGTGGCCACCGGTTTATCTAGGTAATTAACTGTTATTGTGGTTGAATTGTTTTGTCAAATATATAATAGTTTAATCGTATAATTATTGTTCTAGAAATACTATTAGACGTCATCTTTTCAAAATCAGAAAGAAGAAATTGAGCATTCCTTATTTGAATAAGTAATTGGAGTATGCCGGCCGAGAGCTCCATGGATGATGACGTAGGCGCTTAAACTGTCTTTCAAATAGCACAAGATGAAGATGGGTAAGACATAATATATGTGCATGTGGGTTGATTCTCATGGTTTATCATCACAATAACAATATAAAGAGAGTATTATATAATGCAAAGAGATCAAATTAAGAAAGGCTATCGGGAAGCTAATAGAAATTGACCAGTGTTAATCACTTTGAGGGAGCTTCTACAAATCCAGAAGGGGAACAGAGAGATATACCTGTCTTTGCAGCCGCCTAAGAAAAATGTTGAATCCCAATGAGTAAGTTGAAGGGAAACTCGTCTATTTATAGACACTGCGAGTCTTGTGACATAATGATATATTTTTTTATTTTTAAAATAGTGTACGGGTGGTATGTGTGAATTTTTTATTAATTAAAAAATAAATAAATCTATATATACACTGTATGTATTAGATTTACATCATTTAATAGTGCACAAAATGTACTCAAACGTGATTAGAGACAGAAGATGATCGGGTCCCATATATATATATATATATATATATATACACCTAAGTAAACAAAGCAAAGGAGTATGTACGGTGCCATATAAAATACGTATGACCTAAGTCATACAACAGTAAGAGTGGAGTACAGAAGCAACAATGGACATAAAAAAAAAGAATAGAGGAAGAGTGGAGTACAAAAGCGGCAATAGACATACAAAAAAAAAATCCAAATGCGCTAAGTTTGAGAGCGAAAGTAACAAAATTTAAACTATACAAAGTCATGCAAGAGTGAGAGTAGAGTATGAAAGTGGCGCTTAAAAAAAAAATAAAAGAAAAAAAAAAAAATGTGCGAATGAGAGCAGGAGCGGCAAAATTTAAGACATACAGAAAAAGAATTGGAAGGTGTAGAGCGTGAAAGTGACTCGGGTTTAGAAGAATTGTGTGACTTAGTATAGTATGAGTGACTTCATGAATGATGTCATCAATTATGACAACACAAATAGTGCATCATCAATTAACGGTGCCACCTGTTTAGAAGAATCATGTAACTTAGTATAGTATGAGTGACTTCATGAATGATGTCATCAATTATGACAACACAGTGCATCATTAATTAATGGTGCCATCGGTTTAGAATAATCGTGTGACTTAGTACAGTATGAATGACTTCTTGAATGATGTCATAAATTATGACAACAGAATAGTGCGTCATCAATTAATGGTGCCAGAATTAGATATTTTTAAGAATTATTACATATAAATGGTGTTAATGACCCATTTATACTATTTGATGGAGTCAAAGTTTCATAATTTCAAAAAAATGAAATTGACCAAAATGTTGATATGAACATAAAAAATATTATTCATTTGTCAAAATGTATCACTTTTAAGCACATGGATACCAATTTTTGTGCACATAAATACCACTTTTAGACACATATGTACCATTTTTTGACAATATAAAAAATTATTGTATACTTTTTCTGCTATTTTACATGGGTGCGAATATGAATTGAAGTGAAGTATGGCGGTTTTCTTAAACAAAAAGACACATATGAATACGGTTAAACGTATTATATTATTTATTTTATAATTTAGAATAAAATATTCCTTTTGTCTCAAAATAGTGGTCTATCTTGAGAATTAGACAACTTTATATTTCAGGACAAAGAGAATTATTTTTACATAGCATAATATTTAATATCAAAATTTTACTGGTTTTGAAGTAATAATACAACAAAATCGAATTACTAAGTATATTTTTAGATGCACGTTCAAATAAAATGTCTGACAAAATCGATATTCATGTTGAAAGATGAGTTTTTTTCGGAAAGCGTACAAATATTGACTGAATTTTTTTTAATTATAATAATTATTTTTGGATTCAAATTTTGGATAGTTGGATATCCCAATAATGTGATAAGGGTTTATATGATGCTTAAATCGTAAATTCTTCAAAAAAAAAAATAAAAAAATAAAAAAATAAAAAAATTAGTTTATGTTTGCATTGGTCTTGGCCATCCACCCTTGAGTGGACTTTCGATTTGACTTGAAATTTGTGAATAGCATATGGAGAACAAAAAAGTGGTACTTATGTGCATAAAAATGGTACCTTTATACTCAAAATAAAAATAGTATATATATATATATATATATATATATATATATATAAATGGTATCTTTTAGCAAATGGTTTTTTCATATTCAAGCCAAGATTTTTGTCAACTTCATTTTTTCAAAATTATGAGACTTTCACTCTATCAAATGATAAATATGAATCACTAACACCATTTATATATAATAATTCCATTTTTTATTATCTTCTTTTTACCGATGGACCATAGACTTAAAGTGAGTGACAAGAATTTTAGAGCTTTGCTCAATTCAGTTTTAAAAACACAATTTTAAAATTTCAATTTTGAAAACAGAAGATAGTTTTTAGATGATTTAAAATTTGACTTAGTATAATATATTGCTATGATATCATCATAATTCAATAGTGTAGTTTATAAGGACAATTGCTAAATTATATATATGGAATTTAAATTCAATGAGAAAATAAGCTAAATGTGTTAATGGATTAGATTTTTATCCAAATTAGATTCAATAATATTGAATTGTTTAATTCAATAACTTGTTAACATTCTGAAATGAAAATTTCATTAACTAAACAAATCAAATATAGATTATGATCAATTTAATTCGATAATTATTCGATTCGACATAATATATTATATTATATTACTTTAAACATTTATAATCTAATTTGATCATATATAAATATTATATATTATGAAAATAGTCTTATCATTATTTACTTTTTTTTTTGGGTAAATATTATTTACTTATTTTCTTCTTCCTTCTCTTTATTTTTCTATTTATTATTTTTATATTTTATTTATCTCTTATTTTCTATCAATTTTATTCTAATTATTGTTTGTCATTCATTTTTGATATAATAATAATAATAAAATACTTATCAATTCGAATTATCAAATATGAATTTATTTACAAAATATTCATCAAGCATCGGATTGTAACTAAATCAGTCTCGAATTCAAAGACTTTGACGATAATGTAGGAGTGGTCTATAGGTGAGCCTTAATTGTTTTTTTTGGATAAATAGGTGAGAGCTTTAATTGTTTCTTTCAGTAATTAGGTGAGCTTTAATTTTTGAAGGGTACATATGTGTCGTTAGCTTAGAATTTTTAATCTACAAAGACTTAGCAGTGGAAATGAAATGTTTCAATAGTACTACATAGTTTATATGGACAATTGCTTCATTATATATATGGAATTTAAATTCAATGAGAAAATAAGCAACTAAAACTTTATGAATAATGTGTTAATGGATCAGATTTTTATTCAAATTTGATTCAATAACTTTGAATTGTTTAATTCAATAACTCATTAACATTCTGAAACGAAAATTTCATTAACTAAACAAATCAAATATAGGCTATGATCAATTTGATCCGATAATTATTCGATTCGATATTATATTATGTTACGTTAAACATATACAATCTAATTTGATCATATATAAATATTATATATTATGAAAATTGTCTTATCATTATTTACTTTTTTTTGGGTAAATATTATTTACTTATTTTCTTCTTCCTTCTCTTTACTTGTCTTATTTTTATTATTTTAATTTATTTATCTCTCGTTTTCTATTAATTTTATTCTAATTATTGTTTGTCATTATTTTTTGATATAATAATAATAAAATACTTATCAATTTGAATTATAGGATATAAATTTAGGGAGGCGATATTTGCACTCTACTTTTCTCTATTTGCACTCCACTTATCTTTTTTTTTTATAAATGAAATGATAAGAAGTTCCTTGAATTCATTAATGCATTATGCCTTATTTTATAATGCTATAACTACCCTTTATACAACTTAAATTTTTTTTCTTCACAATGCTATACTTTCTTTTCTTTTCAGAGGTTCTCTCAAAGAAGATAATTTATTCTATAATGATAGTTTTATTTTTGGCAGTCAAAAGAGATAATTTATTCAATAGTATTTTTTTTTTTAATCAAAACAAATAATTTATTCAACAAAGTTAACTACTTCTTCTTCTTCTTCTTTTTTTTTTTTTTTTTTTTTTTTTTTTTTTTTTTTTTGTGTGTGTGTGTGTGTTTGTGTCATGTCAAAAGAGTAACTTTTTATTTTTTTTATTGGTCACGTCAAAAGAAATAATTTATTCTATATATATATATATATATATATATATATATATATATATATATATATTTTTTAATCCTCTTTTTCGTACTTTTTTATTTTGATCTTGACAAAAGAAATAAATTCCTCTTTTTCGTACTTTTTTATTTTGATCTTGACGAAAGAAATAAATTCTTCAATATATATATATATATATATAGGGTTTTTTTGGCTGTAAAAAGAGATAATTTTTTTTAAGGTTTTTTATTTTTTGGTCCGGTCAAAAGAGAATTTATTCAATATAAATTTTTTTTTGGTCCTGAAACAAAATATTATTCAATTGTTATTTTATTTTATTTTATCTTGCCAAAAAGAAACCTAAAATATTAAAGATTAAAAATAAAGAAAGAAAATCTAAAAGGACAGTTGTGTCATTTAAAAAGTAATAATCATATATTTATAAATTTAAAAATATAATTGTTATTTTATATAAAATTATAATACAAACTTAAAAAAATGAAATACGAATAATATCTCCTTAAATTTATCTATAAAATATTCATCAAGTCATCGGATTCAGACGGCAAAAGAGACTTTTGACAATAACACAAAAGTGGTCTACACGTTAGCGCAGAATTTTAATCTATAAAGGCTTTAGTAGTCAAAATGAAATGGCTTTTTTTTCCATGTGGGAATGTAATGTTTGAAAAGTCCTGCATTCGTGTTCTCCCTATCACGAGTAGTTAACACTTCGCTTTCATAATAGGAAAATGATAACTTTGTTCTCTATCACGAGTTGCTGGCTGACTGACTGACTGATTGGTTGACTTCATTGCGATGAAATAGGACCGCACATTTCGGCTGGTGAGCATTAGTCTTCTTCCCAAATTAAACCAGTCATTTTCTTAGTTCTATCCTTATTAAAGACACGATGCCATGTTGAAGAATATTGATGCTAATAGCCCATGATATTTGTTTATTTGTTTTAATAATGTTATTTTATTTAAAAATTTTTTCGCGATTATAAAAGATGTTTCTCTCGATTATAAAAGATGTTTCTCTCTTTTCTGTATAGGAGATTCTCTCTACTGAAATTAGTAATCAAGCTCCTTAGGAATTAGCATGCATACTGATAAGAGATACCAATATGCAAAAGTTAGTACTATGAATATGAATAAGAGTCACACAAATCCCGACTAGAAATTATTAAATTATTCTAAATCATTGATATTTGACGAGTGAGTTAAATTCAGATACTTGGATTGAAAAAAAAATCTCACAAGAGTGTATTAATATATTATAAAAAAAATTTAACATTAATTTTTATTAAATTAATTTATCAAGTGTCAAATGCACCAGAACCATTTACTAATTTCTTCACATGGACTTATTTCCATCCCAAAAAAAATAACAAATAAAAAATCAACAAGAGGTAAGAGTCATACAGCTCTCTCGTCCCTAGTTAATTTGAAGCTTGAAAAACTTTACATGGTAGACTATGACATCACAAATCATTTTAATGGGCCCACCTAGCCTCATCTTATATGTCAATTACCATGTGGATTATTGAAGAAGGTATATCATATTAGGATCTATTAATTTTTATTTGATTTGAATGTGTGTGACCAATTATTATTATTTTTTGATAAGTAAAGTGTGTGACCAATTATTTGATTGATATATTCAAGATTTGGATTTTTTGATTATGAAAATCCTTAATAAATGACCAGCCATACACATCATGAAAGAAATTTCTTGATCTTCATTATGAATAAAAATATGACAACGTTTTTGTTTTCCTATCAGGTCACTTACTCTCTTCATAGACTCACCTCTCTCTCTCTCTTCCCAAAAAAAAAAAAAAAAATCCAAGTAAAAATTCCCCAATACCAAACCCTAGAATATTGCTAAGATCATAGAACTTGAATCTTTTCATGGAAGGCCTACAAACTCTAGGAATGGATACTGATCATTCTTTCACACCCAAAGAAAGGATTCTCGCTTCCCCAAGCACTGTAAGAAAACTTGGACGGCAAATTTGAAGAAACTACCGGCCTTAAAATTAACAACTAACAATGAGATTAAAAGTATGGCAAGCTAGAGGCCTTATATATATATATATATATATATATATATATAAACACACATACACGTACCCAAAAGTACATATAAATTTATAAATCAGACAGTATCTTTTATAAGGTTATATCGTTTCTCTTGGGGAAATTTTCTCCCTCTCTGGTTTCTTTTCTTAATTTGTTTTAGGTTTTTTATCCTTTATCCTACTTTCTCTCCTCAAAAATTATTTTTAAATTACAATTGGCTGCCAATTCAAATGTATATCATTCATGAAAATATATCATGAAAATCCATATAGTGTGATAAATTAGATAAATTGGTAATAAATATTCATGATGCATTACGAAAAGAGTAGTGATAGGAAACCGAATGGTTATCCCCGAATTGTCACCGAATCTAATGTGGTTAAACCATGTCAAATTCATTACATATTTCTAAAGAGTGAAAATTTAAAGTCATCTCTCACCTCACGTGTCTTGAGTGAGTCCTATACCAATCATAGTTGTCTTCAACCTCAAGACATGGGTTCTATTTACAGAAAAATAGTCCACCATTTTTGACCTACAATCTAAATTCAAACTCCTTCCCATCAATGATTTCAAAACGAAAAGAAAAAATGAAGTGAAGAAAATAAAAAGAAAATTGGGGAAAATCCTAATATAATGAAGGTGCCATTATCTGCTAAAATTGTTTCCCTGATCAGAAAACAAAAGTAAAAAATTAGCAAAGAGAATATACAATAGAAGCATATATGTATACATATACACATAGATATAGATATGAGTGTATCAATATCTATTTGGAACTGGATATCACCGGGAAGACCCGTCTTCAATATTGTACCGAGGGGACTTCGTATTGGCTAAATTTCTTCTTAATAGCATTCCATTATTACACATATTTATTTGTTTGTTTGGATCTATCGATTTCGTTCCCATGAGTGATATTGAATCCTACATGTCTTAAAAGACATATAATGAATCTTACCTATCTTTAGCCACATCAGATTTGGTGAAATTTCGGAAATTACTATTTAAGTTTTCTATCATTATTCTTACGAAAAAGATTTTCCAATTTATAGCATTACTCTGATGCAAGTTAAGACTAATGCTTCTCAAACAAAGCTTACATGCATCTCAGTTTTACCATACCTTCAACTTCAAGAACAACATTCACACATACACATCCACAAACAAACGCATATGTATATGTTGTACTCCTAAATCACATTGGATTATCTTCCAATTTTATTTCTGATCATGCACTTCATCCTATATGTAGTTTCATAACACTACATTGTCCACTGCGGGGCTGGTCGATCTTTTCATTGATAAATAACAATTGGACTCCTGACAATATGACTAGAGCTTCTCCATGAGAGAAAAGCTGAAATTATTTTTTCACGTCCCTTCGACATGGGTTGCGCTTTCACCATGACCTTGAAGTTTCGCACCTGCAAGGCAGTAGAGAAGGAGAGACTAATAGGCTTAGCTGTGATCTCCACTCCTTTGGGTGCTGTAAATGAATAGAGAAGGACCAACATTAGTGACCGTCCTTCGAAAAATAACTGTGGTTGGGCGTTGAGTGTTTTTCAAGTGAAGTTGCTTAGTGGAATAGTTAAGAGCATCATATTTTTTTATCAAATAGTTAGGCAAGAACGGATCCACTGTAGCCCTCTCGGTATAGAAATGGAACGTAATCATAGATCATCATAATTAATGTTGTAGACTAGGCCGGGGTTCACTGCTTTGCACCGTAGGCGAATTCACAATCAGCGGACAATCTTGAGCTCAAAGGTGTTGCTTTGACAAACATTTCAAGTAAGTGTAAGGCCATGCATGAAAATAGTATAAAAAAGACTAGCCGAATGCAATCTATGAGAATTATAGTACAAGAAAAAAAGCTTTTACGAGGGGCCAAAACCACCGTGAAAACTTATTCACGGCGCATTGTAGGCCCTCGTCTATGATGGTTGCCGTAGAAAAGTTTACTATGTCTTTTTTTTTATGAGGATTTTCACTACTTGTAAATAATATAAACCATTCACGGCTTGTAACTGTGCATGGATTAGTATATGACCTTTTATTTACGGGCATGAATATATAAATAAAACACCATTAAGTGCTAGCTGATTAATCATCCATAACCTATAATTGGCATCACTTTCAACTATCATTCAATTCAAAAAACATTTCAACACATCCTATATGGTAATGCAAATTGCAATAACCAAAACAATCTCTTGAAATACCCTATTAAACATATCAAAAGATTTTAAAAATTTTTACAATTCAAAAATTCAACATTTATCAGTGTGCTAAAACAATTCACCATTTATCAATGTTCCAAAACAGGAACTAAATCCATTTGTCAAGAAAATTATCAATTTCCTAGCACTTCTGTTGAAAAATTTATAAACCTTCTAGCACTTGAGTTTCAGTCTGCACTTATCAAAAAACCATTTTATTGTCTATAGTATACAATCCAATCAAGTAGTTGCATCACACAAGTCTCAAATTTAGTATGCTAATAACAAAAGGGAAAGAACAAAATTATCATTTATGAATCAAATGGAAATCATTATCATTCACAAACAAAATGCAGCCAAGAAACTATTACCAAAAAGTACCAACAAAACAGCATACAGATATAAACAAAACCAAGACAAGAGAAACTATTGCAAGGATCAACTAATTTAAATATATAAGATCATATGGCAGCTTCCAGTTACATACATATGGAACGTAACGCGACAAAATGTACTTGATTTTTAATGTAAGTAGTTCCAACCCTTCAAAAGAACTCGTGTTCTTCTAGTTCCAACCCTCTGTGAATAGTGGATCAGGGCTTGCTTCCTCCCAACCCACTCACACACCAATCCACCCAAACATTATTAATAATTTGTCTTCCTGACCTTTTGTTTCCATTGGAGTTTGACACCTCCTCTAGCTTTCCTTTATTAGAATTACTTTTTTGGTTTAACATTGACATATCTCATCTAGATTTTCTTAATTACCGTTGCTTTGTTGGCTTGAGTGACCACCTCTTAAGGTTCAAGCATGGGCAGGGTTGTGTGTGTGTGTGTAAATTTACCTATAAAAAAATTACTAATCAATCAATTAAGAAGTACAAAGTCAACATCCATCAATCGACTAAAAAGTACAAAGTCACCATTCAAAATCGACAATGTCACCAACAGGCCAGTGGCCTAGTGGTACCAAACCCCTACTTCGCAAAGAAAGGTCAGAGGTTCGAGCCTCCGTGGAGGCATGTGTGTGTGAGTGCCCAACTAGGTAAAAAAAAAAAAAAAATTCGACAATGTCAAACCATCTCTCAATTAATGTTTCCTCAAATCATAATTAAGACTAAAACATTAGTGATAATTTTAATATTTTTAACTAAGAAGAGATTTGGGATTTTAATTTATCAAATCATAACAATGAGTTGTCTCCATTTGTTACTGTCAAAACGTCACTTTCTTGCACCAATTGAATCCCATTTTTTTTAAAAAATGTGTATACGAGAATGGTTTTCACCAATTAAAAAAGGGTAGGTAATAGAACATGTTTGGCACATGGTAAGGGCTAGCTCTTGCTTCTCCAACTACACCGATTGGGACTGCTTTCTTTTTTGATAGATGTTGATGTAACAAATTCCTAATCTTGCATTGCTTTCGCCCATCAAACCAAAGGAAAAAAAAAGAGCATATAATATATATACACACACAAACACACACAGTCACACATATATAAGATTGTCACATCATTGAATTTGTATTTATAGAAGCTAGCATATCATGAGTTCAATATAATTTTTGAACTCCATTCCTACACTAACTAGATACAAGCTAGTGAATAGTTCTTTGTAATCAAAATCTATAATCAACTAAAAGTTCATATACACAATGAGGTTGCAGATAAGTTGCTTATTTTAAAATAAACACGGATCATGAATGCAAACCAAACTTGAAATGCGATGAATGAAAATGAAACTCCATCCACAACAATTTCCTGACCTCCATTTATAAACAATAATAATAATTAAAAAAAATGATCACTTAAGGCACGTGACCCCCTGTACACCGCAAAATTGGTCACTTAAAGGCACGTGACTCCCTCGAGCATGAGTAAAAAACATTAAAAATGTGCAATCATAAAAGAATATTATCAAACGGAAAGGCATATAACTTACAAATTTTGATGTACTTGATAGGCCATGCAATTGTAGTTGCTTTAACATATGCCTCTTTCAAATCAAAGCAACGAACTTTAGACCTATACAAGGGCACACTGGCATCAATGCCTTTAGCGATCCATACTTTGTGCTCCAGTTTTATGCTCATTTGAAGCTCCACAGTTGAAAATTCAAATTTTTTATAATGATAAAAATGACAAGAACAATGTCTAAACTTTTATAAGTAAGGATATTTAAGTTATAATAACCTGTCACCAAGGTGCATCCATCCTTTATCCATGACTCCTCACTAATTTATTCAATCATAAGTGACTACTTCTACAAGAAGTGATCGATAACCTAAAGCAAGATGTAAAGTTATATCTATAAGAAACCCACTAAAAATATTTGTTCATCCATGTACATTATAACAAAATTCAATTCAAAACACTTGATTTTGAGTTCAGAAGCAAAATCTAATCAAGAATCATGCAACATCTCACATGTATGTATCAGAATTTTTTTTTTTTTATTTTTATTTTTTTATCTAGATAACAACAATTTATAATGTTTTTAAAAAAATATATGTATGAGAAACCTATATCAATGTCTGAATTTAAATAATAAGGAGAATGACAAACACTTATACGCTAGCCTAAAAGAAAAATGAAATGGTTTAGATAAATGATTGTTATTAACAAAGGAAGAACAATAAGAATAGTAACTTAGTAGAAACCATCTGATGAGTTCCTTTCTTAAAATTCATCAACATATAATGAGTTAACTACATAACTTGTATATTAGCACTATATTAATATACTTTAATAGGATGTTTACTTCCATTAGGCCAAATTGCATTAAGCCACTCAACAACCATCACTTTGTGGCAAAATACTCTTTGAACTACATCAACTCTACCAAAAAAGTTCGAAAAAACACACCACTAAACTGAGAAAAAAATCAAGTGAAAGATGGTATTGAATACGCTTGCTCCAACCTAATACTGCACTTGTTTGTTAGTTTCTGTAGAACTTTGGCAGACAGTGAGTTCTTACCACACAAGTTCTACAAACCCCATATAAGAAAATATACCAAAATCACTCTTAAAAACACCAGTTTGGTTAACACTTGAAATTAAATTCTCTCTTTTTTTCCTAAGTTTTGGACTCTAAAAAGCTCTATATTTTTAACCTTAGCAGAATCTATATGATACTAACAATGTATAGTCAGTGTCAATATGTATAGAAACTGAAATGAAAGATGGACTATAGTAACATAAACAACGGAAAAGACAATTGTGCAACTTGAGTTCCATGGGATATCTATAGTTGACCTGACACCAAGTGAAATCAAACTGAAGGCATATAAAGTCCGAAACATTTTCTATTTAAACTCAATTCATAAGTTTAATTAAATTATACAATTTATTAAAATCTTTGAAAAATTAGAACGCTAAAAAGCATGGACATGGATACAGACACGGATGTATATTTTTTTTTACAGACAAGGCAAATATTAAAAAATGTTAACTCAGAGGTCAATTGAACAAAATAGGAGTTTTCAGTTCCACAAAATATCAAGTCTGTCAAATTTAAAAATCTTCTTTACAATTGGTTTGTCATCTAGAAGCTAGTGAAATCAAGACTATGTGTGTGTCAATGTGTGCAAGTGTGTGTGAAAAAGAAAGCAAGTGGAAGGAATTGAACAGAGAGAAGTTGGCTTTGCTTACCGATCAGACAAAGGGTCACTTCTTTATAGAACAGAATTTTGCTCTCAATCAACACAGCTACATCTCATCAGCCCCCAGAGAACGAACAATGCAATCTTCCTCGTCAATAAAAGAATGACCAATAATTTCAAAGATTTGGGCGAAGCAACGAAAAATGATCAAATCTGGGTCATATGTACGAGAAAGGGAAGATATTACATACCTATTATTTTTTATTGAGAGCGAAATTAAAAACACAATCTCCGGATTTATGGTTTCGTTTCTGAGCCGTGTGTTATCATTTAGGGTGTGTTTGGATAGTATTAGTTATGAGAGAAAAGAAAAGAAAAGAAAGGATAGTATTAGTGAGAAAAGAAAAGAAAGGATAATAATAATTTCTATTTGTGTTTGGATAGACAGGGGAGAAAAGAAAAGAAGTGATAGTTATTTTTGTTTGGATAAGATAGAGGAGAGAAAAGAAAAGAAAGGATAATAGACAAATTACTTTTTTACCCTTTCATAACCATGGGACTTGGATGGAATAATAAATCTGTGTATTAATTTGTGGAGGCTAATTTTGGTATTATCAAAATACCACTAAAATCACTATCCTTTCTCTCACTATCTCTCCCTATCTTCTCAATTTTGAGGAGAAAGCAAATAAGAGATAAGGAGGGATAGCTATCCCTCCCTATCTCTCCTTATCCCTCCCTATCCCTCCACTTAAGTTACCCAAACACAAACTTACACTATCCTCTCTTTTCTTTTCTCTCCCTATCCCTCCAAATCAACCCTACCAAACACACCCTTAGGGCTTAGGGGTCCCTTCTATGGTGACCGGAGACAGATATGACGATGGTGACCAGAGACGACGATGGAAAGCCCCTTTGCAGCGAGATGTACACGAGAAGATTTTTTGTGTTAGGGCTTATCAAAGAGGAAAAGAGGTCTGTTGAGCCGGGTTTGTGTTGCTGAATATTTTTTAATTTTATGATAAGCCCTAACACAAAAAATATAGCAGAGGCCATAGAGTAGAATATAGTTACCTTTCACAGTGTATATAGTCAATAATTGGTTCAACTTCGGTGGAATTCACTGTGGTTGCTGGTGCCATGTAAATTTGGGTCAGTGATAAGAGTTAAATAGTTGATGATAGTGCCGATCCCTCCAATGCTTTTGATAAATTGCACGAGACAATTTTTCCTTTCACGACAGGGTCGATTGAATTTTCAATACAATAACTGTGTATAATAATCACATTACAAATGAAGTTATAAAAAAGTAAGCCTTTTTCAAACACGTATTATATCTATATATATATATATATATATATGTTGATTTTCTTGCATTGTCCTTGCTCGCATATGCCTTGGCTGTATCAGCCCGCTCACAAGTGGGTACAATTTTTGCTTGGGGTTAAATGCGTTTACTCCCCCTTCCCTGCATTATAAATGTACGTATTAATTGTACTTAATTCCCCATATGAAAGAATTGGGAGGCAAGATGCGTATAAATTACTCCATATGAATTGCTTGAAATTAGTGGTATAGATTAAAATTTGCGTACATAACCTATGCATAAGCAAAGGAAAATGATAAAAAGTGTCAATCGATTTTTATCTAACTATTTTTTTATTTTCTTATTTAGAAAACACTATACTTGTTGAGAAAAGAAATATATGTCATTATAATTGATTAAGTTTTTTTTAAGAAAAAAAAATTCTTAAATGAAGTTCTAGTAGCCTTTTATTTTTTATATGTTTCTAAATTTATTATAAGGAATTTTAACTATGTGTTTTTTTTTTTTTTTTTTTTTTTTTTTTTCCGGAAAACACTATATTTATAGAGAAAAGGGCATTAATGATCATATTAAAGGGTAGATATGTTATTATAGTTTTGTCAGAGGTCAAGTTGCCAACTTTTAGTAGATGAGGGACTGAAATGCTTGAAAAAGAATAATTCAAGGGTTTAATTTTGCAACTTTGAAAAAGTTGAGGAGAGATTTTTTTTTTGGCACTTTTTCAAAATTTTTATTATACAAAAATTATGAAAGTACACGTCTTTAAATCCTAATTTTGACAAATGATAGTAGTTTCAAGTTTTGAGGTTTCACATGCAGCACTAAATTTAGCTATTTAAGATCATGAGATAGATGGGACCAAGCTGTAAGATTCGTATGGTTTTTTAATTTGTTTATTTAACATTAGGGAGAGTATTTGCACATTTATAGAAATTTATTTATTTATTTATTATTTATTTTTATTTTTTAACTTTTCCCATATTATGGATATTTCACAAATTTCAATAAGTAATAAATTATGTTTTGATCAATTTTTTTTTTTTTTTTCCTTGGTAAATCACCACATCATTGGTCTACTCATTGATAGATAACAATTGGACTCCTCACAACATGACTAGAGCTTTTTCATGTGAGCGAAGTTGAAATAATTTTTGCTGGATATGGGTTGTGCCTTTGCCATAACCTTGAAGCTTCGTTTCTACGACGCGTGAGAGAAGGAGAGACTCATAGGCTTGACAGTGATCTCAACTCCTTTGGATACTGTAATGGTGGCATTTTAAATGGATGAAGAAGAACCAACATTAGTGACCGTCCTTCGGAAAATGACTGTGATTGGAAGTTTTGAGTGTTTTTCAAGTGAAGTTGCATAGTGGGATAGTTAAGAGCATCATGGGTTGTTGGAGGAAGATAATCCTATTTACACTGAATAGTAAGGCGAGGATGGATTCACTGTAGCCCTCTTGGCATAGGAATGGAATGTAGTGTCCAAGATCATCGATGTCGTAGACTAGACCGGGGTTCACTGCTTTGCTTGGGTTCATTTGGCCAGCACCGTAGCCAAATTCAGCATCAGTACTGTCCACACTTGGGGCTCAAAGTTGTTGCTTTGACAATTGACAAACAATATATTTCATGGAAGCACAAGGGCAAGCACAAAATTTATATGAGTAAGTCAAACAAAGTGCAGTAATATTTAATATTATTATGTAAAAACTTTGTTGCATGTAAGCAAGTAATTCTTCTCTAAATTGCTTTGAAGCAGAGTGTATCGATCGCTTGTGTAGTATCTACTACATATATTGTTATATACTAGCTGTAAATAATTCAAGTCCAAAGTATTGGTGGTAATCAAGTTAATTAAAAATCCAAGAAGAAATGAGAAGAAAATTTGGTCTTACCAGTCGTCAGTATAGCAAATTTTACTGCAGCGGTAACCAATTTGGGTGGAATGACTTAACGTAAACAGCTGCCCTGCTAACGTGTGGACATGTTATGGAAGTCTCAGTCATAAATGTACATTTTGAATATCTGAGTGTTATCTTTATGCCTTGCAAGTGTCTTCAGGGAAGTGTATGTTGCCAAGATGCCAAAACCAAATGCTGCAATATCTGGCTGTTCCATTTTACATCAAAGAAGCGACGAGTAATTCATTTGAGTACTAAGCCTCCTTATAAATGGTTGACATTGATTTTATTTGGTTCATGGATATATGAAAGTGCAAACCTTAAACACACACAAAGAGATAGACCTCGAGAATGTATTCTGATGATAGACTTGGACCCCGAGAAGAGAAATATGGGATAAATGGAGCTGGGATTTTAACTTCTTGCGAATTGCACAGAACCGGTCCCAATCATTAATTTCTTCGTCTTAGTGGTCAAAAATTATATATACATGGTCAAGGGCAGATGTAGGTATGGATTCTGGTGGGCTTGAGCCCACAATTTTTTTTTTTTTTATTATACTAATAATAGCCCAACCCAAAAAAATAATAATTTATTAAGAGTATTAGCCCACTCCAAAATTAGCCCATCCAATCAAGCCTAAGGCAACTCAGTCACCATACTAAAATAAAGGCCCAAGCCAAATAAGCCCAGGGTCGGCCCTGACCCAAGGCATTCACCTATAGCCTCAAAATTTATAGGCCCATCCACAGAAAAAAAAATTATTTTTAGGGCAAATCAATTCAGCCTCCCCAATCGCCTCCATCTCTATTCTCGTTCTCAACTCTGAACTTGCTCTCTCTCTCTCTCTCTCTGCAACTGCAAACTACAAAATCTACAAGAATCAGAAGTTCAAAACCCATATATTTCAGCTTATCTATTTGTCTGCAAGAATCAAAAGTTGAAAACCTTATCGGCATATCATTTCAGATTGTTCAAAAATTCAAAACCCATATCTTTCAGTTTCCATCGCCTGATGTTCCAGTTCGGGTTCGCCGTTCGCAAGCTTCAGCCGCTGTCTCTCAACTCTCAAGCTTGCCCCCCCTCTCTCGCTCTGCAACTGCTAACTTGTATGCATGGGTTTTGTTTTAATTTTTTTTCTAAATCAACTAATCAAGGTTTGTAAGTCTTGTTTTGCAAACTAAATCCTATTTGGTGAATTTTTTTATGATCTTATATATATATATAAAGTAACAAAATTTGCATTGCATTTTGAGGTAATCACCGTAATCTACATTTTATTTCAGCAAAACAAATATATATATATTTTATTTCTATAACTTCTATTTCTGTTTTTTTTTTTTTTTGGCCAATTATGTCTACAAGAAAATTTGAATCTGGGCATGAAAATAGGAAAAAAAAAAAAAAGAATCTGAATTGGATTAGAAATCTGCAGAGATTGAATATGAAATAATTTTTATCAACATGCCAAGCTTTTTGAAGATGGAAATATTTTCAGAACTGAAAAAAAAAAATCATAACAAGAACTTTGACAATTAAAAGTAGTTAATATAGGGTAAAGCTCTAAAGTTACTTCTTGAAAATTAAAATACTTACAAAAAACATGTTTTTGAGTGAATTCCATAGTGTTGGAAGGGGCTTGCCATGAACTACCTCATCTCAAATAGGATTAGTAAATTGGTCAAAAGAAAAGATAGGATACTGAGTGGTGAATTGTTCAGAAATAAATTGGTAATTTTTTTTTATTAATTACCCAAATAGGATTTTCTATGACTTAATCCGTCAACTGTATGAAGAAACATTGTTAATCAACTAAAATTGAATTAAACAACAGTTGGTTGTGGTTGATATATTTTGATTTAGCCCACCCCATTGAGAAATCCTGGATCCACCCTTGTATATGGTCACAAATCTTCTAATTAAATACAGCGGTGGCCTAGATCATATAAATATAGTTACCTTTGGGAATGTATATAATCACTTATGAGTTCACTTTCGGTGGAATTCACAGCAGTTGCTAGTGCCATGAAAGTTTTGAAAGATAAGTAGTCTTGGGCAAGATGGCTGCCATATTTGAGAATAATGCCAATCCCTCCAATGCT